TGGGAAGTCCCAACTTCAAAGATTGCCAAACTGAGTCACTATGTTCAACTGAGAAGTCTCATTGAGACTTTGCTGTTCAAAGCCTTTTTAAAACCTCAAAACTTGCTCTTTTTTTTCATAAGTTTTATTTGCATATTTTAGGTACACAGTGGGTTGAGAGATATATACAGATAGTAAAAGGGTTACTATGGTGAAACAAATTAGAATATCCATCACCTCACATTGTTACCCAATTTTTTTGTTTGTTTGTTTTTGTGACAAGAGCAACTAAAATCTATTCATTAGCATGAATCCCAATAACAGTGTTTTTCTTCCTGTAGTCCTCACAGGATACAATATGTGTCTAGACTTGTTCATCCTACATATCTATGACTCTGTATCCTCTGACCTACATTTTATTTTTCCATCCCCAATTCCATCCCTGGTAACCATGCTGCTGCTTTTTTTCTCTATCTCTGTATAGCTGAATTTTTTAAGATTCTCCAAATCAGTGTAGTATCTTTCTTTTAGTTTCTGACTTATTGCACTTAACATAATGTCTTGCAGGTCCATCCACATTGTGGTAAATGGAAAGATCCCATTCTTTTTTCCGGGATAAATAACATCCTATTACAAATACATGCCAGTTCCTTCACCTGTTCTGACCAACACTTATGTTGTTTCTGTATCTTGGCCACTGTGAATAATACTGCAAATAACATGGGGGTGTGGGCTGCTTTATGAGGTGGTGATTTCATATCCTTTTGGAATACTCCCAGAACAGGGATTTCTGGGTTATATGGTACTTCTATTTTTCATTTCTTTAGAAATATCCATCCAGTTTTCCATGATAGATGCACCAATTTGCACCAACAGTATATAGGAATTCCCCTTATATCCTCATCAACATTTGTTACCCTTTGACTTTTTGATAAAAGCCATTTTAACATGTGTGAAGAAATGTCCCATTGTTGTTGAGACCTGCATTTCCTTGATGATTAATGATGCTGAGCACCTTTTCGTATGCATGTTGGTCATTTTTATGCCTTACCTGGGTTTTGCTTATTTTTGAAGGGGGCTATTTATTTTTCCAGTATTGAGTTATATGTATTTTTTATAATTTATATTAACCACTTATATACGGTTTTTGCAAGTGTTTCCCCCAATCTGTAAGCTGCTATTTCATTTTGTTAGTTGTTTTCTTCACCGTGCAGAAGTTTTAAAATTTGATATAGTCCCATTTATTTACTGTTTCTCTTATGGCCTCAGCTTTTGGTGTAATACCCCAAAAAGTTATTGTCAAGGCCAACATCCAGGATTTTTTCCTTTTTTTTCTCTTTGAATATTTTGTTCTCTTTGGGTATAGTTTCTAATCTTATATTTAAGTCTCTGATCATTTTAAGTTGATTTTGGTGTATGCTATAAAATAAAGGTCCAGTTTCATTCTTTTGCATGTGGAACTCTTCTCTTCCCAGACTGTTTATTGAAGAGAGAACCCTTCCTTCATTTTTGTCCTCTTGGAGCCCTTGTCTAAAACTAGTTGACTCTGTGTGTTTGGATTTATTTCTGTGCCCTTTGTTCCATTCTACTAGTCTATATGTCTGTTTTTATGCCAGAGCCATACTCTTTTAATTATTATATTTTGTAATGTAATTTTAAGTGAGGAAGTGCTGTACCTCCATCTCTGTTTTTCTTTCTCAGAATTGCTTTTGCTGCTTATGGTCTTCTCAAGTTCCAAAAAAAAAATTAGGACTTTTTTCTGTTTGGGAGGAAAAGGCCATTAGGATTTTGATAGGGGTTGCACTGAATCTATATATTGTTTTGAGTAACAAGTACATTAGCCATATTAATTTTTCCAATCAACATGAAATATATTTTCATTTGTGTCTTCCTCAATTTCTTCCATCAGTATTTTGTACAGATATTTCACTTTCTTGTTGAATTTATTCCTAGTTATTTTTATGATACCATAAATGGAATTTTTAAATTTCTTTTTCAGTTAAGGTCATTATTTGTGTATAAAAATGTTGATGATTTTTGTATATTTATTTTGTATCATGTAAATTTATTGAATGTACTTATTAGCTGTAACAGTTTTTTTTTTTCATGGAATACTGTCATCTGCAAATAGAGATAATGCTACTTCTTCCATTCCACTTTTGATTTTTTTTTCCTTTTTCTACTTGTCTAATTGCTCATCTCTTATTCTTTAGAGTCTTAGAAGTTATAGGCTTTCCATCCTTGCAAGGTATTTGAATTTTAAAATGGTTTCCTGTCTCCTTTTATTTCTTCTGTTACTCACACTGAATTAAATGAGGAATATATCATGCAAATATTTTGGAAGAGTATTTCCTATATAGGGAATAGCTAGTGCAGAGGCTTTGAGATGTGTCTGAAAAAGACTAAGGAATGAATAAGGAATATAGTAGCAGGAGAGTTGAGAAGGGTTACGGAAAACCAGTCATGCAGGGCCTTGTGAGTCATGGTATGGATTTTAGCTTTTATTTTATTTTTTACAGTTAAATAGCAGATTCTTTTTCTTACTTTCTTTTTTTTATTTGCGCATTTCAATCACACAAATAGTGAGATTCATTATGCCATATTTTTATATGTACATAGAATACTTTGTTCAACTTGAGAAGGGAGATGATATGATC